AAACCGAATCAAACTGATGTTTGGACTGAAATACACGAAATCGAATATAATTTGGTTCCATGAATTTTATAAGTACTGAAGAAAAATGAAACAAATTAACATTTGGACCGGACCAAAGTGGAATAAAGCAGATCGAATGCACTATTGGTCCGATCTTTGGTCTTAAGATATCTTTCACTATTAGCAGTGGCAGACTCAGGATTTTAGGATAGGTGTGTCGGCTAATAAAAATAATTTAAAATAATTAATTTAAAATAAACATAAAACTTTTATTCATAAAGTTCACCAATTTCATTATTTTTTTATAGTGGCCACGACGAGTTTCCATATTCTAACAAATTTCGTAATTACATTTGTCCATTAGGTTGCAATCAAATCTTTTTTATGTACATGATTAAACAATTATTCATAACTGGTCACTCACCTTATACCAAAGATTTTTCTCGATTAAACTCATATACGGAAGATGTCATTTTGTAGCTTCTAGTTGCAAGAGGTAAAGTCAACACTAATTTAAGATGAGAAAGCTAGTATGAGTATTTGGAAGGGTGGCCACAAGCGTCAATATGGAAGCTTGAATGAGGATGTCGCCAGCTCGACACCGATAATTGGAGTGTGGCAACAGACGTCAACGTGAAAAGAAATAACTAAACTAGAAAGCAAATTGAAAATTAACTTAAAAGAAAAATCTATGGAAGAAGCTATGGGGGAAATACAGTCTGGAACACTATCTAGTTACTTGACTTTACCTAACCTGAAGTCCGATAACTCTTATATATACATATTTTAATTAATAAAATTGTGACAACACAGTTTCTCTTAAGTAATAAGATGTGTCGGTTACAATTATTAGAGGTGTGTCGGAGGTTGCGTGTTCGAATTTTTTACACCAAAATAATGTGGGGTCTTCACAAAAATTTCGAACCAAGGTGGGTCCGCCCCTGACTATTGGACCGCGGTTTTCCTGAGTTTGGTTCGATTTGGTCCGAAACTGACCGACGCCACCCCTATATATAATATAACACTCTAAATGTGCTTGTATGAAAAAAAATTAGTAAAATGTAACTCGACAAAACTAAAAATAAAAACAAGAATAATAACAAGAATAATGGTTGAGCTCTATAACAATTTGCACTCGCTGGTTAACGAAGTCATTGATAAGAGGATGATGATCTACATATTTAGAGCTCGACAACTATTAATTAGAGAATGTACGAAGTTTCTGCGTTTGAAATGGAAAAGTACAAAGAGAGAAAAATGGAAGTACGTAGCATATGTTTTCGTTGACTCAGAGACCACTTCCGTGCTGTTTTCTTTGACTTCAAATACAAACAAATATGTTGATTTCAAAATAGCAACAAAAATACACTTAAATTTTTTTTTGACTTTCCTTTTTTTTTACCAAAACGATCGCTCGTATTACCGAGAAAACAGTCAGATACAAAGGAGTTCAAATGACCGAAAAAAGCCACGCAACAAAATCGAACCCAACTAAAAAAGGGAACAAAGAAAGGGCTTTTCGTGCCACCAAATGGGCAACCCTATTACAACGCCTACCAACAAACTGGACAGAGAAATGCACAAAGGATTGACGAAGCACCATCATCTCCTCAAGAATCGCCCCTCCACGGGTATCTCCGGTCAATCCTGCCAAAATCTTGTCAATGACGACCTTAGCATCCCCCGCAAAAAGAATCGTTGTCAAGCCCCGTGCAAGACACCATCGCATCGCATCCCTGAAAGCCAACAACTCCACTAGGAAAGGTCCTCAATGAACTCGTATAGCCTCGCCTCCGCAGTCACCACTCTTCCGAACGGATCCTGTAACACCCAACCCCCAGCACCATGAGACCCGCATCTCACAGCCCCATCAACCCGAACCACCCAAAGGCCCGGGTTGAGAACCTGATTAAGACCCCCGGAATGCCCGGTCATGCCACCACCACCATCCACAACCGGACGCGCCTCATTCGCCACCTCCCATTCCACCACCTGCAAACGAAATTGAGAAAGCAAAACAGGTATGGTGTATAGAGTAAAGTCAAACACCACCCAATTCCGCGCCTTCCAAATCCGCCAAAACAAGGCCACAACCTACATTAAAACCTGACCATCCAAATTATCCTGTTCGAGGAACCGTCTCCAGAAAGTTGCCATGTGATCCTGGGGAAAACTTTCACGAACCCCATCAAGACCAGTCCCTCCCCAGACCCCCTGAGCCACCCTGCAGCGGAAGAAGAGGCGTTCAAGAGACTCCTCCTCCTCCCCGCACACCGGACAGTCGCGCACACCATCCACCCCCTCACGCTGAGTGCCTCCCCTGTCGGCAAAGCCCGACGCACCAGTTTCCAAATGAAATACTTCAATTTCGGAGGCAAGGATGCGGACCAGACCCTCTTCCATAATCCACGGTCCCAAGGAACCACCCCTTGCTTATTCACCAATTCCCTCTAGCCGCAATTGAGAAGCTAAATGGTACCCCGACTTAACGGAATACACACCCGAAGCCTCCCCAATCCATACCAAGCGATCAGGAACAGGATCAATAGGCAGGGGAATAGCCGCAATTGCCTGAACCGTGTCTTCCTCGAATATTTGACGTAGACAATCCATCCTCCATGCCCCCTGTTGAGGCTGAATCAGTGAGGCCACCATCCCATCCACCCTAACAATCCCTTGCCGAGCCCGAGGAGGGCATGGATGAAGGCGAGGCACCCAATTATCATGAAGCACATCCACCATTGCGCCCGATCCTACCTGCCAATACAAACCCTGTCGCAACAAATTTCTCCCATGAAGAATCCCACGCCATCCCAAAGAAGGAAGAGAGCCAGGAGAGGCCTCAAGAATAGACGTACGAGGATAGTACTTTCCTTTCAGCAAGCGCGCCACCAGAGAATTTGGCTCTTTCAAAAGACGCCAAGCCAATTTCGCTAGCAGTGCCTGATTAAATTCCTCAAAGCGTCGAAAGCCCATCCCTCCTTCATGTTTACTCATACATAGTGTCTTCCAAGAAACCCAATGGACCCTCCTTTCCCCATGCTGCACTCCCCACCAAAAACGAGCCAGATGTCTATCCATAGACCGACACAACGAGACAGGGAACATGAAGCACGACATCCCGTAGACAGGCAAGGCATTTGCCACAGCTTTAATAAGAACCTCCTTGGCTGCCCACGAAAGACATTGTTGCTTCCATCCCTGAAGTCTGCTTAATACCCGCTCCTCGAAATACCGAAACGTCTCCATCTTAGAACGACTCACCAAGGAAGGAAGCCCAAGGTACTGATCAGTCACACCAACCGTACCAACCCCCAGGATTCGCCCCAAGTCATCCGCATCCGGCGCTAGAATATTACGACTAAAGCACACCGCAGACTTAGCTAAGTTAACCTTCTGGCCACTAAGCATCTCATATCGATTTAGGAGAGAAACTAGCGTCTCACACTCCATTGGTGAAGCTCGAAGAAATAGGTACGAGTCATCTGCAAAGAACAAATGCGTAACAACTGGACATCTTGACTTTCCTATTTGAATTTAAACGGAATACACACTCCATTGGCGAGTTGGTTCTTTTTGACTTTCCTATTTGAATTTAAATGAGAGATATAACTAAAGAGATAAAAACAAATACGAACAAATAGAATATTCATCATAACCATTGTTTCGTTCTAAAACGTTCAATATAAGGGAGAAATGGAGATTGCAGTGCTGTAAATTGATTATTTGATTGTGTTTTCTTTGTTAGGACAGTCATGCATGTTGTTAGCCAAAACAAAACTGCAAGAAGTAGAAGACAAATCCAGGAGAAAGAGAGGTACAAATGCTGCTCAGACGTTCCCTCCCTCTCTTTCTCCATCGCAGCATAAATCCAAAACACATAACTAAATAGCTAAGCGCTCAAAAACTGGAATATTAACGTAAAAAAGGGATTGTTGTATTAATTGTTGCGAGAGTCTCCATAGTTTCCAGGTGATTTTCAGTTGATGAAGTCTCTAGCTTTCTTCCCGCTTCTCATTTGCTAGCAATCTCCATCATTGGCACGGTCAATCTTCAATCTTTATACCAATTAAGATATCATCATTAAGACCTATCTTCGATGGTCCTCAAACTCTACTACTTTTGGATTCAAAGCTCCACGATTTATCAACCTTTCCTCCTTGTGAATCCAATCTATTGCAAGTAAAGAAAGATGTACATATGAACTCTGAGATCATAAATAATGAATAAATTTAGGTGGCTCGCAATCACGTAATTGCATTGGACAAAAAATTTTAATTACATGTTTGTCATCTATACCACTGAAATTGATTATTGCAATTGTATGAGTGTCTTGTCGATTATCCACGTGAAATTCTAATGTGAATGCTCTTATAAAGCAAAAACTACTTCAATCAATCTACTAATTGATACCACTTTGGATTAATTCATCACAAAAATTACCAGTTTAAATAACAAAAATGTCTCTTATCTTACAGTGGGACATTCCACCACAAAAGTTATATTGTGCACGCAAAGCTTTCAATTATTAATCTATATTTACTTTCATTTACACCAAAGTTTTTTTTATACATTTTCTTAATCTCATTGTCTATCAATCACACTTTTTTCACGCACTCTTATACATTGTGTGAAAGATAGGACATATCACATATCCATCTGTGAGATTTTTTGTGAATAAATAATAGCATTAAGTGAATTTTTTTTTGTGATAACGAGGTTACGAGTTCGAATCACCATTGTGTCTTCTGGGTGTTTCTGAAGGTTAGATAAAAAGGATTTCAACCCTACGAACACATTACCTGTTTGTGGTTTACCCGACTCCGACATCATTTAAGTGGTGATCGGGAAGGATGTTTCAGGTTAAAAAATAAAATAAAAAATCAGATAAAAGAGTTAATAAAGAAAAAAAAAAGAAAATAAATCTTAGTATTACTCTCTAATTTTGTATAAATATGTACTGTTCTTGCTCAACTAACTCGCTGTAAAAAGTTTCAGAAACCAAACTTCGCCACGCCATGGCGGAGCTACTACTGCAGCCCAGTTACCGCTTCGCCGCCATTACTAGAAACTCCATCCTCTTTCTTCTCCTCCTCTTATTCCTCTTATGTTCATCAGTTCTCCCCCGAGTCTCGGCATTCCCGCTCTCCACCGAATCGCGGTGGATCCTCGACGACGCCACCGGCCGGAGAGTGAAGCTCGCCTGCGTAAACTTGGCGTCCCACTTAGAACCCATGGTGGCCGAGGGACTCAACAGACTTCCCATCAATGAAATCGCTCAGAAGATCACTTCAATGGGTTTCAATTGCGTTCGCCTCACTTGGCCGCTTTACTTGGTCACCAACGCCACTCTGGGTTCCACCACCGTCAGACAATCTTTCCGGCGACTCCAATTGGACGATCCCATCGCTGGAATTGAGACTCACAATCCTTCCATCATCGACCTCTCCCTTCTTCAGGCCTTCAAGGTACCAGCTTTTGTCCCGTTTTGCAGTTGGTCAGAGATTACATGCCTGCTTGTCGTTTGAGAAAATGCCCCAGACAAAATAGCAAAAGTCACACAAAGAGTTTGCTCTGTTCAGGAAGTGGTAGGGCGACTTGGGCAAAACGATGTGATGGTTGTATTGGACAATCACGTCACCAAGCCTGGCTGGTGCTGCAGAGATTTCGATGGGAATGGTTTCTTCGGCGATGAATACTTCACCCCTGATTTATGGGTCGAGGGTCTTACTCGAATGGCCGCCATGTTTAAAGGTTACAGCAACGTGGTTGCGATGAGCTTGAGAAATGAGCTTCGTGGCCCTAAAGAGAACTCCAACGACTGGTACAGGTAATATAATCAAATGCCCCCCTCTCGAATTCTGATCATGAATTTCCTTAAAGCTCTCAACTTTAATCTGTTTTGTTGGCTTAGGTACATGACAAGAGGAGCTGAAGCAGTTCACTCAGCAAATGCAGACATTCTCGTTATCCTATCCGGGCTGAACTACGATGGAGACTTGTCGTTCTTGAACAACCAGCCAGTGAAGTTGACGTTTAGCAAGAAGTTAGTGTTCGAGGTTCACTGGTATGGGTTCACAGATGGAGACGGGTGGGCTGATGGGAACCCGAATCAGGTCTGTGGGATTGTGATCAATCATTTGAAGAGATCGGCCACGTTTTTGTTGGATCAGAAGTATCCGTTGTTCGTGAGTGAGTTTGGGATTGATCAAACTGGGACGAATTTGAATGATGAACGGTTCATAAATTGCTTCCTTGGATATGCAGCTGAGCTTGATTTAGATTGGGCGATATGGACGGTTGTTGGAAGTTACTATTTAGGGGAAGGAGTAGTAGGGATGAGTGAGCCTTACGGTTTGTTGAATTGGGATTGGGTTGAGATTAGGAACACATGGTTCTTGGAGAAACTCTCTGCCCTTCAGGTTCCTTTCCAAGGTAACATTTCGTTGTCTTGCTACCCAAGGAACTTAGAGGTTGTTTGGTAGTCAGAGGACCTTCACCTTTGAGTTTCAGAATACTTGAAATCCATTCTTTCTACGATCCTTACTTACCAAAAAGCCTCTAAGATCGTTTTTAATCGGGGTTGTCTGACTGCAGGACCTGGTTTAGCAGAGGCTGAGATCCACAAGCTGATCTTCCACCCCTCCACAGGGCTATGTGTCCTTAGAGGCGAAACATCTTCCGATCCCTTAAGGCTAGGAGCTTGCTCGAGATCCGATCCCTGGAGCTACTCTGGACAAACTCTATCACTGCAGGGAAGTACTAACCCTTCCTGTTTAAGTGCTGATAAGTTATGGAGACCGGTGCGACTCAATGGGGACTGCTCGGTGTGGGAGATGATCACCGACTCCCAGATGCACCTCTCGACGAAGCTCAAAGATGGGACCTCGGGTTGTTTAGATGTGGACTCAAACAACAATGTGGTGGCGAATCCTTGCAAGTGCGTTAGGGTAGAGGAGAGATGTGACCCCGGAAGCCAATGGTTCAAGTTGGTGGACAGCACAAGGAGGCCGAACGATAGAGCGGTGCCATCTGGGTCCAGGCAACGATCGAGGAGACGTGGGTTCTCTTCTGGAAGGAGTTTGCTGTGGGAGTTCTTGGGCATCACTTTGGATTGATAGGAAATTTTTTCACTTGATGTTAAAAATAGGGAAGTTCAGGAACTTGGGAACAACGCTCCAACTACTACTAGTCTTTTGTACAGTCTGTAAGTTATTTCTTTTAGCCATTACTAATTCAACACGAAAACAACAACAAATTTACGTGGTATTCATGATGATCTGGACTCGTCCACAAGAGTAGTCCACAGGACTAGTCAATGAGGGCTTTACCTAAATAATAAAACAAAATCTATGCTACATATGAACATAATTACACCGAGGAACCCATTACACAACAGCCTCATCCAAATTGATGTCGGTCACGAAGCATCAATTTGCGGAACCAATGGCGACTTGTGGTGAACGATTTAGTGAATAGATTAGCAACTTGTTCTTCGAGTGTAATATACCGCAAGGGAACAATACCAACACGTACCACGTCACAAATGTAATGAATGTGGACCTCAATGTACTTGGTACGATCATGTAGCTAAGGATTATTGGCAATTGACTCGCTACAACACAACTTCTAACAATGGCCAAGTGTAACCAATGAAAGGGACTGCACTATAGTGGAACAAGTAATAAATATCGAATCCACGGGTCTCTAGAGTTATTATACTCAACTTCAGTTCATTATATAGCAAACCAGATTAAAATGGAAGAACTATAACTACTCTAGCAAACTATAGTTAAAGTTAATCTAATTACAGGTTGAGAACTCACTTAGGTATGATTCTCTCTAGCCACTAGCCAGATTAATGATTGATGATCTCTAACCTGTTTCACTTTTATTCACAATGCTGAGAATTCTTGACTAAACCTTGAATCTCAACTAAAGAAGTCAAGGCCCTCTTGAGTCGATTGCCTAGAGGGACGTGTCCTTCTCTAGAACAACCGATCAAGGCGTTTTGAACTAGATTCCCTCTATCGAAAGAATTGATGCGACACAAACACAAAACACGACAAGACAACGCCAAACTCGGTACACAACAAATGATTAAACTAGTAGTTCTCGGCTTTTTCTAGTAACGTAAGACTCCCCGGCAAAGGCGCTAAAAACTTTATAAACGCTTATGCGCGATCGAGCTTTAAATTTATAAAGTCGAAGCACACTCTCTATTCAATCCTCACCAAGCCAAGTATAACCAAGCCAGCATTGTATTAAGTGGCTAGGTCGTATTCCAAGGGATCCCTAAGTTTATTATTACTTCGCTCTGAACTACTATCTAATCGGGTTGGAAGTTTGGTGAGGGATTTGAACTAATTTAACCTACTCCTAAGTCAAAATAAACAACCAACCAAGTGGTTGGGCGAACGCTAAAGATGAGATGGTTGCCTAGGGTCGAATACTCCTAGCTATGGTTGTCCAGTAGGGTTAATCGAATGTGGTGATTGAGCTCTTTTTCTTGGACTTTTGTGGTTATCCACACGCCTCCGAGTATGCCTCCCCTAAACCCATATATAGTCACCTCGATCTAGGCTATCGTATCTGGGGCACTAAGCTCATGGCTCATTTCAATGGACACTATCCATCGCCAACATCGAGGTTTTATCCCGAGTTCTATCTAGGAAGGCTACCTATAGCAAGGTTCGGTCGCCTCGACCACTATAGGCTCGATTTGCTTGATGGCGCATACGCGTCTAACTCTAAAACTCCAAACCCAACGTAGAAGCGTAAAGTAAGCTAGTAGAGAAACACATTCATTCATGAACCCATTCACACACAACCTATAAACTAGGGTTCATCTTGATATCACAACCACGATCTTTGTGTCCCTGGTGCGATCTTTTGTCGCGGTCAAAATACACGATGCCCGCGATCTGGATGAGGAAACTCTCTGCCTTCTTCTTGGTCGCCTAATAGAGTTCGTGGCCACTGATTACAACCACGATCATTATCACGCCCTGGTCAAGGTAGTCATGTGTGGTCGTGACCAGCGCTTTTTCTCCCCTTCTTGCTCCTATGCTTCCCAATCGTGCTTGGATGAACTCCAATCGATTCCCGATCAATAAAAAATGAATATAAGACTTGGAATTTCATCTCAAATTCTTGGGAAAGCATAAAATACGACACATTGGGGTCGGTTCCCCTATGAAAACCTTCATATCATGAATACCTATGCCAAAAAGCATGTTTTGCAAATAGGAACGAATAAGCATAAATAACATGATATGTGGCCTAGACATGGTGATTTAACATGCAAATGCCTTGGGAATGGGGCTAAATAATGCCTGTTTTAGGTGTTATCAATAACACTATCTATTCTATTCCATTCATACCAAACCTTCCGTTGAACTAGTAACCTCACAAACATAACAACTACATCTTAACTTAACAAATTCCCCTTGGCTTAAGCTTCACCAACAGTCCATGCTTCATGTAAAGTGTGGTTGTTTCCTTCGGAACAACACACTGCCCATCAACAACTTCAACAAAGTACCTCCACAAGAATGAAGCATCCACCATCTTCATCTGTGTGTAGGCAAATTTCTTCCCCAAACACATCCTTGAACTAGCATTGAACACAACATACTTGAACTGATTCTCTCTCACAACCCTCCCATCTTTGATCCATCTCTCTAGCTTGAACTCCAAGCAATCCTCCCCCTACAAGGATTCTATCCTAGCAGCCATTCAACAATGTTATCAAGATCACCTCCAAAGCGCATATTCGATAATAAAGAACAAAATATACACATCATGTTGTAAAAGAATTATCCACGAGATAAAAATATGATAATGGTCTCTGTTACCATACACATGGAAAAAATCCCTAAATACAAGGGCTGCAAGAAAAAAATATTCAATACTTTATTTACAAAAATATTTTCTAAACTACTAGAGTTTGAGACGGTTGTTGGACACCCAAGCGAATTGGTAAGTGGTTCGCTCTAAACAAACTCGAAGCACTATTAGATTGGTGAACAAACAGGCGAAATACAATGGTTGGCTGCCAACTCCCCCAATCCATTTTTACTGAGAATCTCTATCCCTGCACCCTATCCTGAAGCATGTATGAAGAAAGTGATCGCACATGAACTATTGGACATAGTTCGCTTTACTTGCCAACGATCCACCATTGATCGCTTTACTCTCCAGCAAACTCTAGTTGTCCTGCTTACTTGGAAGCAAACCAAAACAACGGGTGTAAGGGATCACTGCATGTTTCAGCGAACAATACAATTCACTTTTCTATCCCATAATCTATTGGATAACTCACTTACTCTCTAGGAACAACCTCAAACTCTAATATTTTCAGAAATCTTTTGAAAAGTGTTTGATTTGGGTCTAAATGTACACTTTTTATCCTCATTTTACTTAGGCGTTTGAGGCATTTTCACTCCAAGAGGTTTGGTTTTACGCTAGGTTTTGCCTTGTTTTAGCATGTTTCACACTTGAGTAGGTGGAACTAGCCCTGGAGTCAGAAGTTGGACGAAAAGACGCAAAATCGGGTCAAAGGATGGAGGCAGTCGCAGATCACGGCAGAAGCAGATAGTTCACAGTCAGGAGAACCTTGAATTGAAGCCAGAGACCGTGAAGCGCCATGCATCCAGAGCCATTTTCGGTCTCACTGCGCTCAAATGACGCAGTGCATTTTTGCTACAGTTCACGGTCCCCGCCAGATGTTCACGATCGTGAACTGGGATCGTGAAGCCTTCTCAATTAGTGTCAAACAATTACTTTTCCAAATGTTTTAGCTATAGATCGTTGTTTTCACCAAAAACCAATCGCTAGATAATGTTTCAAACAATTGAAGTAGGGGTACATGGACCGGCTCCGGTTGATATTTAAATATACTTTCCCTATATTGTATCCAATAAAGTTTATACTTGAGCCCTAATTGGGAGTTCTATTGTGATATTCGGGAAGAGTCAGTGTTTGTATTATAGAATTCTCTTTTTTCAACTTTAGCGATTTTCCCCCATTCTAATAGACTAGGACTCTCCAACAAGGTTGGGTCGATGTTAAATGAATCATATTCCAAAAAAAGGAATGTGATGGTGTCATAGGTAAATGGAAGATGTAGCGAAGTAGTTTGGATGGTGGAACGTTACCGAGAGAAATCTATCCAGGCCTAACCAAATAGACCTCAACATCATCGATCTGGGTTTTCCAAAAGGGAAGCAAAAGCCAATGGTGAGCAAAGGGTTAGCCTTCAATCTCCCATCAACCCACCACTAAATCTGTTAGTCGATCTGGGATTAGGGATTTGTTCGAACGAATCGGTAAAGTGTACTGAGAAGAAATGAGGAAGAAGATGAAAGCCACACTAACAGACTTCTGTTCTCTTTCTCAGACGATGTGGGCTTAGATAAGTTCAGGCCCAGTCGATCAATTACAGAGAAAAAGGCGAGTGGGCTTAAGAAAACAAAGCCGTAAAACAAGACCGAATTATTCAGAGACGTGCTTGTTCAATCTTCCAAGGCCAGAAGCAGAACAGAGATACGAAGCAGAGGAATAAGAAGGAAATTGAAATAACAAGAACACATAGACAATTTAATGAGGTTCACCCAACAATGGTTACTTCCTCATCCCAGCAGTCGTACACACTCTTGCTGAGAGACACTATATTTTCTGATCAGAGAGACACATGTACAAAGAAACTGAAATACGAAACAAGGAACAGAAAAACCAAAGTTTGACACAAACTCTGAACCACTACAGCCACTCTCACAGATCCTATACCCCTGGAGATGAACCCTTTTACCCTCAAGAATAAAAGCCCTCTACCACTCTTTGCTTGATGTAAAAGTTGCCCACGATTCGTACACTGCTGGGAATATATAGCCTGCCTCTTAGCTAGCCGTTGGGAGAAAGTATTCGTTGCAGCAGGCTGAGATTGATGCTGAAAAAGATCAAGTTTCCCAAAAGAGACACTTTCCTTGAATGAGCGATTTGCCAGCTCTGATCTTCGCGCAACAAAATCCAACTTCCAACGCCGATTATTTGAAGCCGCCTTGTAAGAAGGGCCTCGTGCAATTCTATAGATCTGTCTACTCCGGCCGGCGGCTCTCTTAGTTGTCTACCGCCTAGCTCTTGCCCAATAGAGGACCGCTCACCAGTAAACGGTATATGATTAACAATTGAACCTCTTCCAATAACTCAAGTTATTGGGATAAATTGGTTCTTTACATGGTATCAGAGCTTTCTATGACCTTGAGGTCCTCTGTTCGATTCCCAGTGATCCCCATCTGTTTCTGTTAAGCATACGGTGTCCGAACCTGTGTCTGCCCAAACTCCAAGCCTATCTGAATGGCTTGAGTTTGAAGGGGGGTGTTAGTAAACGGTATATGATTCATGATTGAACCTCTCCCAACAACACGAGTTATTGGAATTAACTGGTTCTTGACAATATCTGCATGTGGTGGCTTGCCTCTTCTCCTACAAGCCCGCCTCCAGTTCCTCCTACGGCTCCTCCAACAAAAGCTTTCTTCTACTAATGCTTTCTCTGCCCATCAAGTTGGTATCGATAGACCCGCAAAAACCTGAATTGCAGGCAGTGGGTGATTGATGTGGATGGATTGCGTATTGATAAATCTCCTACCCGCACTTATATAAGGGGGGTGATAGGTGGATTACGGGTCACCCGAATGACCCACACCATATTTTCATCTTACTAAATATTTTCCTTTCTTTTTCCTCTGCCTAAAATCCTTCTTTTCCTTTTTCTTCTTCTTCTTCTTCCTCCAGGAATACTTCCTTCATCTTCTTTTAAATTTTTTTCAATTACGAGCTCGAGAAAAAGCTCCAAAACTACTCATTCTCTAAAGACTTTGAGGGATGTTTTACTGGAGCTTTCAATTGAAATAATTAAGTAGTGGATTGAAGAATAAGAAGGATTTTAGTAGGAAAAATAAAAGAAGAGAAAGATTAATCGTCAGAGAAGATAAGAAGATGACCGGTTATTTTAGTTTAATTAAGTAATTTCAAAATTTTAGGCTCTAAAATTTTAATAATATTTTAATTAATTGTGTGATGAGGTATCTAGACCCAATGTCCTATTTATGATTTTGTTAACTCTGACATTAACTTTAAAAGAAAACTATTATTAAATTGTATTTCAAAATGTTTGTTTATTATTTTGCACAAAAATAAAATGTTTGGCTATTAAATCGTTTTAATCCTATATTTTGGATCACATGTTAAAACTCAGCATCCACATAAGCATTAGTAACCACGTTAAAGTCGACTAATGTTTGACTAGATGAAAAGTTAACAATTTTGCTATTATTTTTTTTAAACGTTTGGTTATTTTTTATTTAAAATTAAAAGTTTGAATATTATATTATTTTAATTCAAATCATTACTTGTATCTCTCAATACCCTAATAAAATATTTGTTGATCTTTTATTATCCTCTCACGTGAATCCAGGCCTCCACTTAGCCGGCACAAATCTCGTCTTCATTAAACCATAATATGATATACTACTTGCCATGTAGATGCCACATCGGCCACCTTAGACTTTAAAAAAAATCCAGAAAAATTAAATGCAACTCCTTCTCTTGGAGTTCTCCTCCTCCTCCTCCAATCACTCATATCAAACCTCATTATCGTACTTCTCCGACCATTCCATCCCACCACCACTGTCATGAACCCTTCCTTGTCCACCACCACATGATACTCGACAAAAGCTCCCAACCGGCCGTCGCGTATATCATCGTCCCGTCATAGCTTCCGCTAAAAACAAATCCACAACGACGGCGCCTCCGTCCCGTCCTCCGTCGTAATCCATATGTCCCTTCAAAATTCAAAATCCAAATGCAATTAACCATCGCCGGAGACCACCATTAGCTCCTCCCACTGTCCCAAACTGACTTTGACGATAGCAAATATAAGCAAAAACGAGACCCAACTAAGCGTTGCCGTCGTTTCATATCCATACCCCAATTTGGAATTCGTCGACGCCGCCGGCTCCCATCGCTGCTCCATATCAACATCTTCGCTTTGACCGAGGAACTGTTGCCTTTCCCCATCGTTCGATCATCACCTCCCCTGCACCCTGATGCAAAGATGGTCAGAGCAAGAGAGTACCAACAACTGCGTCGATTCAATAGGTGGAGATTCTAGGGTTGGAATTGAGTTTTTGATTTGGCTTTTTGGTAGAGGGATTTTTCACTGGCGACTCGTACCTACCTCAAAACTCTGGCTCCGATGAGGACCTTCAGCAGCTGGTGACGGAAGGGAGGAATCTCGGTCGCCGATGAGGAAGCTGAAGCATCACTCCCACCGTCGGCGCCATGGACTACACCGACATCGACAACGAGTCTGTGTCGTCGAAAAGCAATGGTGGCATGTGTTGAAATTAAAGTTTAATTAATAAAAGAAACTCCTAGAAGCTACACGTACTGGATGAATATGGAATAGTGTGGAAGATGTGTTAATTGTGGTTAGTTGTTAGTTGAATTATTAGATATTAAATTAATGAAGAAAAAAAAATGGAAGCCACAAGTGTTAGGCGGTGGCTTGTGATATTTTGTGTAATTGGAGCCTATAAATAGGCTTGAATGTTGTAAGAAGAGAGCAGAGCAAAAAGAAAGAAGCAAAGAAGAAATAAAAAAAACCCCTTCCTATTCTAGCTCTCTCTGCCGCCTCCTTTTTTCCCAAA